CACACATACACATACACACATACACATACGCACATACACGTGCACATACGTTTACACATACGCGTATACACATACACATGAACATATACACATACATACGCACGTACACATACATATACACATACGTACATACACATACATACACATACGCACATACACATGCATACACATGCGCACATACACATACACACAGACACACATTGTGCCTTGTTTATATAGAGATAATATATATGCTATATACATATAAGTATATATTTAGATTTGAACCTTCTGATGCACATGTTTCTGCTCTAGCTTCTAGTGAGAGACCAAAGAGCAAATACAGGGTTTGTTTCATGTTCTAACAATCTATCCTCATTCTTTGTCGAAGGCTCATACATTTGATTAATGCTATGAACTAACTTGTTTAAGGCGCTGTTTTCTTAAGGTAACAATGCTCTGTTGGTCGTTAGATGACAGCATGATTGTCACTGCTGGTTCAGATTATATATGTGAGTTACGCTTTGAATACTTATTTATTAACATGTCATAAGTCGGATTTTAGTGAGAGTTTGGAACAGGAAGGGCGAAATGTTAAGAAGCCTGCAGGGTCATACAGATGACTCATTTGTCCTTAAGGCTCATCCTGTTTTCATGAATGTGATCCTCAGCTGTGGTCATGACGGCGTATTGGTGGTATGTGGGCAGTATGTACTTTTCTGGTCTATATTCATTTGCCTCAAAACTTATAGTTCTGGGATATTTTGAAAGGCCAAAAGCTCAAGCGATTTACAAATATTGTCGAACATCGTGGGCACTCTGCCCTCTTCGATCTTGATATATCACGCGATGGTTGCACAGTTGCTGCAGTCGATTCACTTGGACATTTGACTGTCTATGGAGTTGCTTCAAAATCAACACGATCAATCCCTAAGCAGCAGTTCTTTAATACCGATTATATGTATGTTAACACATTTCCTTTCAAAAGAATTGTTTCTGTCAAAACTGTTAGATGGGGGAATTATGTCAAAGTTGAAATGCGCAAGTTTTTGCGAGCATAGCCATAGATCTAGTAATTTGTTGGTTGCTAATCTTTAGAGTTGATTTCCTTCTAAAGTTAACCATCTCGCTTAAGGCCGCTATTAATGGATGATACTGGTTGGGTAGTGGATGAAGCCACAGGTGTTGTTCCACACCTACTTCCGCCACCATTGCTCACCGATCAAGACCTTGTTCCCCTTGCTGACGAGTGGCAGAATGCCGTTCCTGGCAGAGATCTCATTAAAAAGGTTAGCTTGAAGCGTTTGGAAATGCTTATCGTATAACCATTTTTTTTTCATTCACTTGATCTCAAACCTTTGGAAACGACTTTTATAAACACTTTGATATAGTTGCAAACATGTTTCATGGGCCCACTTGTTTCTCAGTTTTATGAGCAAAGTCCGTAAACCTAGAAACTTGTAGAAAGATGCATCTCTCGAGCCGTTTTCATCCCCTTGGATTACGAGGCATATCATACCAGCATTGTCGATGAACGACAGGAACTTCTGGGCGGAGGTATCATGTTATTTTAATCGCTCACCAACGAGTTTCACTTTATCATCATTTCCGCATCTCCAC